CCTCGCGTGCCCGGGCGAGGGCCCGATTTGACTTTCCCCTGGGTCTGAGGTCAGAAGGACCTCGACAAATGCACCCCTCGGCGACTCTACGTTTTCAAACACTGCACTGAATTCCTGGCTCGCCAGAGCTCTGCGCTGCTGGTTCTTGGAGAGCAACACAGCTCCCTTACAGCCTCTTCGAGCACCACCCAGGGTGCCAATCCCACCCCGGACGCAGGCACATCTATCCCCAGCCTCATAGGGGGAAAGTGGGAAAACTTACACTGAACCTTCTCAACCTTACACTGAAACTAGGTCTTTCCCTATGATTCTACCCCGCCCATAGTGACCACATAGCGCTTTGACAATGGGAACAGGTGCTCCTTCAGAGAAGCTGAGTGTCTGGGCTCACGTGCTTATTTTTGTTTGTTCCATGAATTTCCCCAGGAACATCTCAGTAAGTAGAGGTGTGCGCGCATGTTGATGTGTCTCTTTTCCGTTGAAGTTACCATTTGATCTCCAAAGAACAGATCCAGTTACGTAATTAAGTCATGTGTCCTTTTCTTAAACCTTTTCTGTGGATAAGAATGAGGTTGTCAAATTCAAGATTCAGTATCTTCAAAACAAGGTCGAACTTCCTTCTCCATAAAAAACAAGACTTGGACCTTCTTAGATAGCACGTTAATCAGAACACTTAGAAGCTCTGCATGGAATCTACACTCATTTTCATAATACAACATTGCTGTATTTATTTATGTATTGCAAGCTATTCTTCCACAAGACTTAATGCTTTCAGGAGGCAGGGGTAGTTTTCATTCATCTCTGTTGTTGTGTGGTGCTGTCAAGCGACCATAACTCATTGCAACATAATGAACAGGTCTGAACCTTGCCCTATTCTGTGGTATGCTCATGATCTCTATTTTATTACAGTCACTGGGTTTATTAATCTCTTAATCATCCTCTTGATGCCTCCCTTCCCTCCAAGGATTGATCCCTGCTGATAACATGCCCATTGTATGTTAGACAAGTTTCCCATTCTTGCCTCTAAGGAGCACTCAAGCTGTACTTCCTCCCACACAGCTTTGTTCTTTTGGCAGTTCATGAGATATTCAGCACTCTTCCCTCTACCACCACAATTCAAAGGCATTGAATCTTCTGTCATCCTTATTCATTATACAACTTTAGATGCATAGGAAACAAGTGAAAAGACCACAGCTTGGATCAGGCCCACCTAGGTCTTCAAACGAAAATAGTTGCTCTTTAGGACTTTGGAGATGTACTTCATTACAGATTTTTCCCAGTGCAACAACGCATCTTTTGATTTCTTGACTGCTGTTGTCATGAGTGTTGATTGTAGATCCAGACAAAATGAATTCATTGATAACTTCAGTTTTTTTGCAGTCATGATGGTATTGGTCCAGTTATGAGGATTTATGTTTTCTTATTGTTAAGATGTAATCCATATTGAAGGTGATAGTTTTTTCTTTTCTTCAGTAAGTGCATCACATCAAATCTTCACTTTCTGCAAGCAAGGTTGTGTCATCTATATAATGCAGTTTGTTGAGAATTCTTTTTCTGATCTCGATGCCAGCTTCTCAAATTATTTGTGCACCATAAAGACTGAGTATGTATGCTAGCCCTCAAATAAACCACTGGAAAGCTCAAAAACCAAATTCAAAGGGTTCATCCCAATTTATAGTGACCCTGGAGGACAGAGGAGAGTATTCCAAGGCAATCTATATGCAAGCAGATTGCCAGGTCTTTCTCTCAGAATGTCTGATGGACTTTTACATAGTAGCAAAGTACTCTGAGTCAGAGATACTCAGCAATTGATGAAATAATTTTACTACCACGCTTTTATGATCCCAATAAGCTCTGAAATTTCTGAATGTTAAAAGTTATGAAAGAATGAGAAATCGGAATTAAAAGTGAATAAAAATGACAAGCATAAGTGTTATAGTGTTTAGAATTAGTTTATTAATCAAGTTGTAAAAAGAGACTTAAAGATTTTTACTGTGTTTAACTTTAAAAGTTATCAAGAGGAAGATTCCGTATATACTTGGACTATTTTTAATGCCAATATTTACACAATTTCATTCTTCCTTTCTATAGATTGGGTAGAGTGTAAGTTACCAGACTTAAAGTGAAAAGAATATTGTTGTTATGTACCGTGGAGTCAGAAATGACCCATAGCTAACCTTCCAGCGGGTTTTCAAAGGCAGTAAATTGCATGGCAAGAGACGGCTAGTGAATTCTAACTGTATATCTAACTAGGCTTTGTCAGGGAAGGAGAGGGCACCCCATGAGATAGATTAACATAGTGACTGCAGCAGTGGGCTCCAGTGTGTCAGATGATGAGGATGTCACAGAATAGGGCAGAGTTCAGACCTGTTGTTCATAGTTTTATGTTGTACTCAACATGACATCACCTAACAACAACCTTTTACAACTTACTTGTCTGAATTTACATTTAGCTAATCTTCTATTTGGGAATTCTGGTGGTCTAGTGATGGAGGTGAGTGGAGCTGTAATGCCAGTCCAAAGACATGAGGTTCAAATACACCAGCTGCTCTGAAGGGCAATCTCCTCTCAGGCAATCTACTGTGTATGAAAGCCTGCTGGAGGTTGGTTCCAATACAGCAGTACAACAATCTTCTATTAATCAGTTTCATATTGTTCACCGAACCTAAAAAGAAAATAATTTGGAGATATCTCAAACACTTTATTAACTGCATTAATTCTTGATCTTTCAAGTCTCCATAATATTCTTGGCCTCTTTTGTTAGTAAATATTTGAAAATGATCCATTGTTAATACATACATTAAAGTATGTGTGTTGTACTAATATTTTAACTGGTTTTGTTTTTCATAAGGGGTTTAACTGTGGCCCACTCATCTTCCATCCATCTGAAGATCTTCCTCTCTTGCACATCCCTCTACCTTTCCAAGCATGATGTCCATCTCCAAGGAATAGCCTCTTCTAGCATCACGTTCAATGAGATAAAGCTTTGCCATCTTTGCCTTCAAAGTGTAGTCTGGCTGCACTTTTTCCAAGATATATCTGTTTGTTCTTTTGATAGTCATAGTTCTTCTCCCTCACCACAGTTCTTAGGCATCTCTTTTACTTCTGTGTATTTTATTCAACTTTCAGCTCTCAGATGCATAGCAAATGATTGAAAAAACCATAGCTTGAACAAGGTGCATCTTAGTCTTCAAACAGGTATCATTGCACCTCAATAATTTGGAGATGGATCCCTCATCCAGAAGGATTGACACAGTGACTGATGCAACAGGCACAAGTGTGTCAGGATGATGAGAATGGCACAGCATAGGGAAAAGTTCTTATCTGTTGTTCAGAGGGTCGCTATGAGTCATAAAGACTTGAAAGCATCTAACACCACCACTTTTCATAGTGGCGCTTTAAAAACTGTAGTTTTAAAATTTTATCATCATTAATACATTTCAAAGCAATCATTCTACACAACAAACTAAAACTTTTTATTAATAATTGGAAATTTTCAAAGATTCTCTACACAATATTTTTTCAATTTAGATGCATTTGATAAATATGCCTTATTAAAATAGTGAAAAGATTAGGTATCACAACAATAATCATAGTTTCTGAATTTCTGTAACCCCTTCAGTTGTGGGAAGAGCAGCATTCTTGTTCTCTCTAGTACTAGCAACACCTCACTTTTATTTTGAACTTTAAGGGTAAGCTTTGGGATTTTTGTAGTTACTACCTACTCTTTTGTGTAAGTGCAAAGTATTCATTTTTTGCAAGTTATTAATAACCCAGAATGTAACCATTTGTATCACCAAGATATTTTTAATACTCAACAATGTTGGGTTCTTTAAAGTTTATTTCTTTCCCTACACTTTCCTTAACTGGCATTACGTTTCATACATTTATTCCCATACATGTTTTTCCACTTATCTTTCAATAATGGTTTGGTTTGTCCCTATGAGACTTAAGTTACCTTAGCATAATGCTTTCCAGTCTCTCCCAAGTATTTTTAAATCAACATTGTTTTAAAGCTTGTAGCATCAATTTTCTTCCCTCTGTTGTTCTTTTCCCACATAGTACTTATAGTTGTTTAGTGTTTTTTCTTTTCCCCTTGACTTTCCTTTCGCTTTCGTGTATATCCTGTTTTCAGTGATGACTTCTACAATGTGTACAAATATTAAATCATAGATTAGTTGGCTATAGTATTCTAGAAATGATCTATTATACCGTCCACAATTTTAGTGTGCTCAAACATTCTTAAAAATATTGTACCTTTCCTAACAAGAGTTTATTCTCCCGACTAAGGATTTGAACTTCATCCTATTCTGACCCAATTGTTACTCTTCTTTGTTGCCTCCATTCCCTAGAAATTATGTTTCCAAGGGAAAGGCACTCTTGGAGTTGAAGAGGGGAAGAGTCTAGCGGAAAATCGGGTACCTCATGCACTAATCTCTCTTCCCCGGGTTGGTGAAGACAGAGACTCTTCTGACAGTCTCACATTGGCTCTCACACTTGTGGTCCACGAGTGAGGGGCCTTGACCTTCTCCATCTCCCTACGTTTCTGACCTGGGTAGAGGCCAACAGCAAATGCATGTTTGTCTGGGCCCACCTGCAATTGCCCCTCGCCAAGCCTCTTGGGCGACTGGGACCTATGTCCGTGGAAGAATTTGGAACAGAAGACAAACACCACGAACTGGGAACGCTGGAGAGGGCAGTCTTTCCCCGCGTTTTCCCCAGTCGAGGTGCCCACGTGATCAAGCGCAGGCCTCCGCAAGGCCGTCCCTTTGGGCCGTAGCAGCTCCTTCCCGCCCGGGGTAAGTACGCAGCACCACTATGCACCACGGGGCCCGCCCGCCCTTCTCCTCTCCGCTTCCCTGCACCTCCCCAGGTTGCCTCGCGCCACTCCGCCCGCCCTCTACCGCCTGCCTCTCCCCCGGTTCCTTTGTACGTGCTCGGCGGCGTGCGAGCGCGTCCGGCACGTGACCCTTCCGAACGTGGCATTGTGTTATCACGTGACCCAGGTGCGTACGCGACGGAGCGGGGTGTGAAGATGGCGGACGAAGAGGCCGAGCAGGAGAGGTTGAGCCGTGGGGAAGGCAGCTGCGTCGCGGAGCTCCAGCGCCTGGGCGAGCGGCTCCAGGAGCTAGAGCGACAGCTGCGGGAAAGCCGGGTACCGGCCGTCGAAGCGGCCACGGAGTACTGTCAACAGCTGTGCCAGGTGAGGGCTCCTCGGTCCCCTCCCCCTCCCTCCCCCCCCCCCAGGAGGGAGAGGGCGAGTGAGCGCCAGGCGGAGGAGCGGGGGCGCATGGTCGGTGCCGTTGCCGTTGCCAGGGCGGAGCGGGTAGTACGGGGAAGGCGCCTTTGTGTGGCTGCTGTGTGGCAGTTGTCGCCGGCTCCTGGCTGGGGGAAGGGAATCGCGTTCTGGGTGGAGAATGCCCCTCCCCTCTCTTCCCCCAACTCTGGACTGCGCTGTCCCCGCAGCGGTGGAGCAGGATGGAGCAGCTAGGGCCAGAGCTCTCCTTTGGAGAGAGGGTGCCGTGGGAAATGGAGGTTAGGCGCTCCTTCTCCTTTTATTGTGCTCGGAGGATTACCTCGTCCCCGCCTCTGCGCCTCCGTTTCCCTCTCCAGCGGGCCTCCGCCCCCAGTGGCTTTGCTTTCATCCGTCCCGCCCCCGGCCCTGTTCTCCCCGTCTCCAGGCCTTTGTTGCTAGAATTTTGCCTTAGGTTTGAAGGGGCCTTTGTTGATGTTGGAGGAGCAGTCCTTGCTGTCTCCTTTTAGCTTGGCGAGACGTTGCAGTGTCTGGAGAGGTATGAGGTCTCCTCGTGCCTTCCTTGCTTGGCACACCATTTCCTTGGCAGTGGCTGCTATAGGTGGAGGGTAGCTACCCCCTTACATATATTCCAGGCTCAGGTGGATGCCCCATGGGAGTGGCTTACTAGAGTCTGTGCTTCTGTAGCTTTACCTTCTAGTAGTTCGAGTTCCTTTTCTCCCTCACCAGTTCAACTTCTTGTTGAAGCAGTCTACAAGGTCTAAGATTTATGTTGAGACCAGTGCTCCGGTTTGTTTTTGATGGTTCTTTCCCTTTTACGCCCAAAGACACAGCTTTCCAGTAATTGCTTTCTGACCAGGGTGGTCATGATAATACACAGCTCGCTTACGATAGAAATCAGCCTATGGGTCTAAAATTAGACTTAATTCCAAACCCTCCAGTTGCATTTGGAATTTCAGGGTATTACTTTCTGCTCATTCGACGGCACATAACAACAACAACAACAACAACAACAACAACTTTCTGCTGGCTTATTGAAGACTGTGGTTAGATTTCTTAATGTGAGAAGGAAGGAACCCCCACACACACACACACACACACACACGAGTGCGTTTAGAGAATTTGGTAAATTTTCATTTTCACACTCTCAAGTTCTGAAATAATTCCTTTATAAAACTAGGGTGCTCTATCACATAGAAGAAAACTCTTGCTTTTCTGCACTTTACTGTCACAAATTATTTAGTAATTGGTCATCTTTTTATTTCCTTTTAAACTGTGAGAGCAGCTTGTATGACTTGACTAGGACTATATGTAATGTGAAAGAAACCTCTTCATAGTTCTGGTATGGCATAATTCGAGATTCTGTAATTCTTCGACATTCTTGTAAAACATTATTGACATTTGTTGCATTCTTTACACATTTTAAATTTATCTTATAGATATAAAGATGTATTCTGTAAGAGTTTATTCAGTAAGCAGCCTTTCATTATAAGTAGATTTTTAATCAGTAAAGGTATTAAAGTATTTTGCCAAAATACATTTTTTTTTGCCTAAAAGTGCTGACTGATGGGTTTAAAACTAATTACTACAAATACTTTTGGTCAGTAGTATTCATAAGTAGGATTAATAATCCTAAAGGGGAATCTCCTGCTTCACCCCTACCCCTTTTTAGGTGATGTGTCATTTGAAGAGTTTCATTTAGAAACTAATTTTTAATGAATGAAACATTATTTCTTTATAAAATGAGCATGAAAGTAATTTGTTACATTAAAGTCTTTACCGTATAGATTGCTTTTGTTGTTGCAATGGCAGAAAATAACAAATAATAGTAACCCAAATACTGGGTTTGTGAATCTCAAAAATAAAATATTTCATATGCTACATCCCCACAACGATCTAAGTGCGTTTAAAAGTGACCGCGCTTATTTAAAAGATGATGTGTGTGTGTGTGTACACACACATCTGTTTTAATTTTTTAGATGTCTTTAAACATATTTTGTTTAACAATGCTGTCAAATTAAGATAGCATGAATCATAATTGTCTCCTCAAAATTATATTCTAACCATTACTGGGCTTGAGCAAAGCAGTGGTTAATAATTTACAGAATTTATTAGACACAATAAAAAAAAGAAATACTAGGAACTGGACATTTTGCTTTGGATTTTAACCTTGAAAATATTACTTTTCATCTAAATTTTTTCTGTTAAATTGGAATATTCATTTCCTTAAATTAGGTAATGGTGAAATATTTGTCAGGATTAGTGGGCATCAGAGTTGATATTCTGTTCATTACTAGTGTTGACAGTAAGGTACTGAGGTGCCTGTGTAAGCCTCATTACTGCATAAGAAAATACATTTCATTTAAAACATGGATTTTTACTTAAGCAAAAGGTAAAAAGCTTTGGAGAATGTAGTGAAACCCACAAAAGTAGAAGTTGTTTAAAATCTCTGTTTGCATATTTTCTCTCTTTTTAAATGAGGTAGTATATGAATAGATTTTGAGGTTTTAGATGACAAATTGAAACCAAAGACACTAAACATGTTTTTTCTTATTGTTAACAGTATTGTTTTATACTTTGTGTTTGAATAATCTCTGGAAGTGTGTGCTGTGTTTTTTATTTAAACAAGCAAAAGGAAGAAGTGGAGGGTGAGTGAATGGAAGTACCTTTCATATATCTTAAGTATTCTTAGATCTTTTAAAAGTTAACTTCAGTTTGGATAATATAGCCAATTTTTTATCCATGTTGTTGTTGTTGTTATGTGCCGTTGAGTCGTTTGCGACTCATAGCGACCCTATGTACAACAGCCCCTAAACCCTGCTCTATCCTGTGCCAATCACATTGCCTCTGACACACCCATCCTGATTACTCCAGTCACTGAATCAATCCACCTCATAGAGGGTCTTCTCCTCCTGCGCTGTCCCTCTACTCTACCCAGCATGATGTCCCTCTCCAAAGACCTGTCTCTCCTTACAACATGTCCAAAGTATGTCAGACGAAGCCCCAGAATCCTTGCCTCCAAGGAGCAGCCTGGTTTAACCCTCTCTAGGATGAATCTGTTTGTTTTCTTGGCAGTCTATGGTACATTCAATACTCTTCTCCAGCACCACAGCTCCAGCACCACAGCTCAAAGGCGTCAATTCTCCTTCTATCCTCCCTAGTCATTGTCCAGCTCTCTGAAACATAACAAGTGATTGCAAAGACCGTGGCCTATATCAGGCGTACCTTTGTCTCCAAAGAGACACCGTTGCTCTTGAGTACTTTAGAGAGGTCCCTGACAGCAGACTTTCCCATCGCAATACGTTTTTGATTTCCTGGCTGCTGGTGCCAAGAGTGTTGACTGTGGAGCCGAGCAAACTGAAACTGTGAACAATCTCAATCTCTTCACCTTCCATCCTGATGCTACCAATTGGTCCAGTGGTGAGAATCTTTGTCTTGTTGACATTGAGCCTTAGTCCATACTGAAGGCTGCAATCCTTGACCTTCTGCAGTAAATGCATGAGGTCCTCCTCAGTTTCAGCGAGCAAGGTTGTGTCATCTGCATAACGCAGATTGTTGATAGATCTTCCACCAATCCTAATGCCACGCATCTCCTCATAGAGCCCAGCCTCTCATGCTCTGCATACAGGTTGAAAGGGTATGGAGATAGGACACATCCCTGGCATACACCCTTCCCAATTTTGAACCATTCAGTGTTGCCCTGCTCTGTTCTGATGACTGCCTCTTGGTCCAAGTGTAGGTTTCGCATTAGCACGATTAAATGTTCTGGGATTCCCATTCTTCTCAGAGTCAGCCACAGTTTGTTATGATCCACGCAGTCAAATGCCTTTGCATAATCAATGAAACACAGATAGACATTCTTCTGGTATTCTTTGCTTTCAGCTAAGATCCATCTAACATCAGCTACAATATCCCTAGTACCTTTTGAAAAATTTAAAAGAAGTTATTATGTGCCATAGAGTTGCCTGTGACTCATATAAGCACCCTGTGTACAACAGACCTAAATGCTGCTCTGTCCTGTGCCAATCTCACTGTCTCCGATATACCTACCCCCATGAACCCAGTTCTTCCACTGTCCCAAGCATGATGGTCTTCTCCAGAGACTGACTGGTCCCTCCTTGTAACATGTCCAAATAAGAATGTAGCACACTATAAAAAAGTTTCTTGGTTCTCTTTGCCTTACCATCCTTGTTATATGCCAGAGAGTCAGAACAGACTGCTTATTACCATATATAAATATTAATCACAGTTGGAACTTATTGGACTAGTCATTGAAAGGTGTGGTAGCTTGGTCCATATAGAATTGTGCTGCTATCTGATAGGTGACAGGTTTCGAATTCACCAGAGGCTCTGCAGGAGAAAGATGAGCATTCTCCTATATGATTTACAGCCTCCAAAAAACACACTAGAGTGTCAGCTATGAATTAGTTCTTATTCCAGGGCAATGAAGAAAACTAGTATTCTATCTGGTAGCCCAGGCGATTTAGTCCTTAAGGAGCTGAGGTGATTCCACTGATGGAGCCTCTGTGTCAGTTTCAGTCCGTCAGCAGCTTTGAGGGAGAAAGATGGTGTGTTTTACAGCCTTGGAAGCCCACTGGTAGGTCAGTTATCGGCTCAGCTTGGCAGCAGTGAATTTTACTATGGGTCAGACAACCTTGTTATAGTTTTTAGCTTCAAGGAACTTAAAGCAGGTGCAGGAGGAAGATAGCAAGTTATTGTTGTAAATGGTATTTATAACATGTCTCTCATATTAGTATAGTCCTGTGGAAGATTATTTTGGAAATTTAAACCCAGAGGATCCCTGCAGATTTCTAAAAGGACTTTTAAATTATCTCCATTAAAAAAAAAAAAAAAGAATTCGTTGGACATAGAGTTAGAATGATTTTGTGTGGCAGGATATGTGCTGAGAATATTATATCCTGAACTAGATAATTGGCTGATAATGCATG